GCCGGCTCAGTGGTCTACCGGTCAAATGCTCTGGCGCGAGACTGATAGGTCCTGGGTTCGAATCTCGTGAGGCGAGATCGTGGTTGGGCACTGGTGAGGAGTCCTACAATAGAACGAAACGGCCATCCAGTGCTTCCAAGTTTTCCATGGTGGTCTAGCTTAAATTGGCTCATGCTTTCAACTATGAAAATTTGAGTATCGTTAACCAAGATCAGAAAATGAATGATAGTGAAGAATTAATTTTAAGTAGAAATATCTTTTATAATATTATTATTGATAATACTGATAATAATAAAGTAAATATTTTTATGAGAGTGAAAAAGAAAATTTTATAAAACGCTTTATTGACATTACTTCGACTTCTAATAATAAATTGGCAAAGCTTCTTCAGTCTAATGTAGGTTAAATAGTAAATCAGAATCTGCCAATTGAATACTACAAATGGTTTTTTTTAAATAAAGAACATTCTTGCAAAATAAAATGACCTAATTTCTCTGTGTTACCTATTTTTTATACCTATATACATAGGTTCTCCTGAATGCGACAAACCGCTTACTTGCATAGCTCCACAGAATTTATTATAAATATTGTTTTGTATCTGGCATTCTTGATCAATCTTCATTTTCCATCTCTTTTTTGTAACAAACTTTAAATTATTGACATTTACATCAAACCTATTTTACTGTAATGTTGAGATATTCATTATGTTTTATAAATACCATTTTTACTACAAAATCTCTGCTTCTAACAGTGTAGTTCATTCCTCATCAAGATTCAACATGTTAATATTCTGATAAATTTTCAATTTGTTTATTGGCCTATAATTTATTTCATAATTTCATATCGAATTCAAAGCCTTCTGGTCTCGTTACTGGTTTTTATTCCTCAGACCAATAGGCCTTCAGATCCTGAGTTCTATCTCTGATAGATTCATAAATGCTCACTGGTGACAAATCTATATTTGGACGAAACAGCTGCCCAGTAATTCCTTATTTTCATAGTTTCTCTGGTTGAAGTCTGTCTGCACTGTGCACTTGTAAAATTTAATAATCTCCACAACCCTATATATATATATATGCCAAAACTTTAATGTTCCTTAAATTAATGGTAGCATATAAAGAAACAAAATCATTCAGTCTTCAGAAATAACGCTAGGAGATCAAGCGATCTATGTTGATCTCTAGACAATCATGGACACAGCCTGTAAGAGGGTACTTTTGCAATGTCCTTCACATACTGCATGCCTGTCTCTTCTTGTTCTTTATCTCTCACTGTTGTTATTTTCCAATTGATAGAGACTGGATTGGTGGGTGATGGTGGTGTGTATGTGTGCTTTCTTTTGACTAAACAATTAGAAACTAATTTTGTTCTATTAATTTCAAAATTCTGTCCATATTTCGCTTAATATTACTTTCACGCTCTTGATGTCGTCGAGATGACGTTGATCAAATGTTTTTACCCCATTCACTCAGTCTGCTCATACTAATGCCACTTGTTTATGTTACATAATAATTATCATTTTAATAACAATAATAATCCCGAACAAAGGATAATCTTCCTTTTTCTCAACTTTATTTGCTACTCTTCCCAGGATAATTGTCTCTTTGCTTGTGACATTTTTCTATTTGTGTTGTGTCTTTGCCGCTCGTCACTTGTTCACCTCGCCTTCTTTGCTGTTGTCTTTTTCATTTGTATGCATCATTATTCTCATTGATCACCTACCGTCGGTGTTTATACACACACAAATGAACTAATGATGATGGATTTCGTTTTGTTATTATTGTTGTTGTTATCACAATTTGACAGTCTACTTTCACGTCGTCCATATCTTACTTGTTATCAATTGCTTTTCAAATGTTATTTTCTCTGTATTTTTTTCTAAAAAAACATCACAATGATATAATTCTTCGTAACATTTGAATGCACGTTGTATTTGCAAAGTTGGGGAGGAGGGTGAATACAACCCATATATATGCGTGTCTCAATGTATTTATTGACTGATTATGTGATTTATCTACATGAGTACTCTCTCCCTTTCACGCTCACGTTTATGTTCTCCATCTTTGTCGACTTCTTTCTCACAGTATACTGTCGCTCTATGTAGGTGTGTGTTCGTGACGATATTTGAAAACGAGAATTAATTGATCATTAATAATGAACAGAGAATTCAGTTTTTTCCGCTCAATTTGTTATTGTTGTAAATATTTTAACTCGTTTTGACATGAGAATTAAAATGTTTCCTCTTTTAGTTGTTCACTCTCTGTTTCTCGTCCTTTCTCTCTCTCTCTCTCTTTTCTGATTTATGGATTAGATGAAGTAAATGGAACACAAATATAAAGCGTGTGTACATTTTTTTTTGAAGGAAAAAAAAGAGTTTTACTAACTATTTACATATCACGTATAAATACGTAAACGTTATATTGTTTTGGGTTTTATAAGTAGGAATTAATTTTTATTGTTTTGTTTTTCCCAAAATGGATTTCCTAAAAAATGAAATTATTCAGCCATGTTACAATGATTTCATAATTTACAATAATTTATCGTTAATTTGTTAACATAGTTTTTCTGGTTAATGAGGGACAAATATAAAATATCAAACTGATTAGTATTTTATTGTGAAATGATAGAGAACATTTGTAGCTTAGGTAGGGAGGGTGGGGGGCTGGTTACATTGTGTTCTCTGAGATGGATGGTTCAGTTCTAAAGCTTTCATTCAATAAGATTATCAACACTTACTTCACATAGAAATTGTAAATATTAATTGTGATTGAAAATATGGGCAATTCTTTTGTGACTTTATAGTATTTCAATGATTATGCCATGTTTATGACATGATGTGAATGGATCAATATCTTACTTTGAAGTCCTTGTTGATCATTGAAGTGTTGGAGATGTAAAAACATTAAACCGAAAAAACTATTCTTCAATACTTTTTAATTGTGTTTAAAAGTTTCATAATGTAAAATAACTTTCAACTTTGAACAACCTTTACAAATCTTTTTAATTTAAAACTGTCATAACATCTTGAATACAGCTAAACTATGTATATACTCATTTATCAGTTACATATTTATGTATTTGACTATAAGCTAAACTTCGATTGGAAGGGTTTATAATGCCACGTGGTTTCTCAGACTGAAATATGTAAGATGGGGTTGAAATCTGCGATGAAGTGAAGTTGAACGCGTCAACTGCTGAGTCATCATTTTATCCACTAATAACGATGTGAATGTGAGCACCAACTTTATGTTAAACTGAATTATTTACTTAGTTGAAGAACATATCTAAATGATACATTGACACTTCAATGATATTTGTTTTGTTTTAATGTAAAAATCTTTATCGTTATCATTGAACATAATCTTGATTTTTTATCTGTAGTGTTGTTCTAATAGAATTGTGTTTGTTTTAATATTAAATGAAAAACGTTTAGGATTTTTAAGATGTTTTATTCTCTACGCTAAACGGTCTAGTTGTGTATTACATTTTCCGTTTGGAAACGAGAGAATATCGCCAAAATGCAAACTTCCTAGATAGAACCATATACACTTCTAAACTATGCAGCTCAGATAAAACAGACATCTGTAAAATTCACATTTGGTTCTTGTAAATATTTTTCCTCATCTGAGGTTTTATTATGCTCATTTCTACGTATGACCATATTTTTCCTCTCGATTTGTGTTAATCATTTCATTACATAGAGTCTCTCTTCATGAAGAACTGTGAGAAATTCTTTTTTTTTCTCCTTTGGAATAAGCGTTTATCTGTAAGAAAAGTCATCATTGAACTTTGAATTGTTTGTCAATTGTAAATAATTGATTGTTAAAAAATAATGTTTAGTTCTAAATGGGAAGAAATGTGCTTCTTTGATCCTACTTCTAGCTACTGTTCGTCTATATTTCAAAATATTGTGGTTATAAATTTTTTTCCAGTAATATTTTCACATTTTTGATTTCTATCACGTTGTAATGGCATCTGATAAATAATCAACAACAGCAAAAACTAGCGAGCACTGAACCAACAGTTGTTTCGTTGTAGTGCGGATTTATTAGACAATGCGTGGACCCACAATCAGATGCTCACACAAGTGTTCGATCCATAATGTTTGGAATTTTAAGATTACTATCAGTTATTTCTGATACGATCCCCTTTTTATTGTTTTCTTTCTCTTGCTAATACTGTATTGGTTAAAATTGGATTTATTTCGTAGTACAAACTTTTGATCGCATTGTTTTTTCTTAGCTTGATGGTGTGATTTTAAACCTTTGGTTGTCGTTCTAGAAGACATCATCAGATTTTTTAAACATAGAAATGAGCTTATCAGTTCATTTTAATGGTCTTGTCTGTGATTAGTTGTCCTTTATTTGTTTTTGAATCCTGTTGTGGTGGGTGGTGTCCTAAATACGATACTGACACACAACCTGCTACGCGTTAACTAACTACCTGAACGAGATTTCAAGAGTAGGAGAAAAAGTCTATCGAGCTACCGAATAATATGCATAAATGTTCACTTACTCGGTTAGCCACTTCTGAGTGTCTCATCACACTGGATTCCTGTTGATGATCCTTTTAGGTGGATCTGTGACTGTTTGATCGACTAACCCCTTCCTTATGGATTGATATACTGGACATATGTTGGGGTATCTTTTGATTGTCGATTGACCTGGTTACCGAGTTTGTAGAAATTTTCTGGCATTCCTAAAGTTCCTTCGATCCAGAATTTCGGAGTTTCATCAATTAAATTCATGCCCACGATTTGTCATCTAAGTAAAAAAAAATATCAATCAAGTCATCTAACTCAGAGAATACAACATCACTACAAATATTATCAATCCACTTGATCTTCAAATCCTTTTTATCATTACATTATTAAAAACTATTTTCATGTAAATTAAATTAATAGAACTACTTACTCTGTTGCTACCACTTTTTCTCTTCAAGTGACTGAGACCTTTGACTAATTACTACCTTTCTCATATTTATTAAATTTTATTATTTAGTTACCGAAATGTTAGTCAATGTACTTAACATATGTTCAGATGATGAACTACTGTCGGATACACCAGAAGATGAATGTAAGTTATTATTTGCATATATATGTGCTAAGTGGTTTACTTGCATTGTTTATCATGTCAATTGGCGATCACTACTTAGACGGTTTTAAGGAACTATTTGATGGTTGGATGACAATCACAAGCTTCATGCTTAAATGAACTTTGATATTTTTAATTTTGGTTGTAACCTATTGCTTTCTATGCAATTACAGTGCTTGGCGGTCATTTTCTCAATCAAATACGTGAACATTAGATTATATAGGGATGTAATGGAAATCCTGTTGAATTGGGATTTTCCTCTTTGACTAACTATATTTGTTACTGAAGGATCAATCAGTGTAGGAGTAGTGGTAGTAACACTAATATTTGTAAAGAGAAGTATATTAGTAGTTTATTGACCTCCGATTAAAATCCAATCCAAACTGAAGCTTTATTCTAATTAAAGTCATTAATCCTCACATTTAGAATGTGTCTTGATACTAACGTATACCAAATCTGTACCTGATAGTAATTGAGTTATTTAACTCATCACTGTCTAATATCACAGCCAGTTGTTTAATATGACATCATATGAATTAACCCAAGAATTATCACAAAAGTTATATAATGATCGAGGTTAGTTTGTCTGTTTATCGATCACAGTCGTAATGTTAATAATAATATTAGTAATAATAAAAAATAACCGATAGAATAAAAGGAAACAGTTACATGCTTTTTAAACTACCTAGTTGGCTATCTTTTTTTTTCAATTTGCACTGTAAATGATGTAAGTTGTTTTTTCCTTTTTAAATTACATGTCTTTAGATTGGGACATTTTAAAGAGTCATATATAACCGTTTCTTCTTCAGTTTTTTTCATACACAATATGTTTATTGATTTATTTATCTTGATAATAAACAATATCCTTCCAAAAAAGATACCTGTTCACAATCCCATATATGATTATCACTATCTTTAGTGTTTCACTAACAAAAATAATTCAGTTAAAACGTTGAATATTAGTTTAAAGAGTTTGTAGAGTTTGTTAAGTCCCATAGTCTACATCGCAAACTGATCTTAGTTAATAACCATTGAAAATCAAGAATGATTTGGCATCTTTTTAATCATCGGTTTGAGAGTCGTGTTGACGAACCGTGATCAATGGAGTTCAATGGCATGAAAATTACTATTATTATCATTATTATAAATCATACCAACTGCGCAATATAAGTATTTATTTATTTAAACACAAAAATTAGTACAAGAGGACAACAATTATATATGCTCCACACTTCATCATTCAATTTGTGTGTGGGCTAGGAAACTGCTCGGGCTTCCAAACCTAAGCAGGTGGTTTTCTTAGGGGGCCACTCCTCAAATTTTTCCTTACGTTTGTTCGTTGCTTATTGGGGGGCGATAAATAATCCCTTCCTAATTTCCAATTCTTCATTACAGCACAAATCACAGCACGTAAAGATGTTATCAGGAATAAAATTCGAGCAATTGGTAAAATGGCCCGTGTATTCACTGTATTAAGGTCAGTTTCCCTAATATATATGTATCAAATTTCCAATGATATTTACATGTTTTCATAAAGACTAAACTGAATATATACATTAATCAATATGAAATATAATTTAGAGGGGAGAAAAAATGTTGTGTACAAGTTATCAAGATCTTTTCTCTTTTCTTTTTGCCAATTGTGTTTGTATTTATTTCTGTTTTCTTCATTCGTTGTTTGTATTCAAGATTTGATTTAAGATTAGATGTCAGTCGATTTGTTATTTGATTAGATTAATATCTTATTTGGCAAATAGCTCTAATAAATTATTCCATTCAGTATGACTTATTTCATTATTTCTTCGACATCCTACCAGTCATCCACTTTTTTTCTTGAATATATATATATATATATATATATATATATATATATATATATAATTGGATATTTGGTGGTGGACGTTAGTCGGTCAAGACGTTCTGTTTGATTTACGTTTCGTATTAGTTAACACTCTTCACCGAAGCATACTTGGAATCTGATATGTCTTATGCGATTAGAACGTAAGTGGCCTAGCTTTGAGACGGTCCCGTTAAATTGCTTGGACTGTTGTATTGGACACAACTCACAAAATTACCTGTAAGTAATATGTTGCAGAACGTGGCCTCGAAGTTGTTTGACGGAATGAATGGTTTCAGTACAGTGAAAGCGCAACATTGGCAGAACACTTGAAGGTCACATGAGAAAACTGCGGATTCCAGAACAAATCAAAAAGTGCAAATGGATTGTTGAGGGCTAAGTATGTATATCATTTAAATGCCTTGTCACTTCTCATAATAGATATACATTCTTTGAGCTTATTGCCTTCTATTGCACTGTGGTTGACCATCTCTCATAAGACTATTTCAATCACGCTTGCTAGTGGGTGCATTACAATTCGGTAGATTGAATTTGGTTAACAATAAAAAACTTGATAAGGATGACAATATTCGTTACTATTCGGTTATCAATTAGTGTAAATGTAGATATAACTGTCAAATTGTCTTTTTCATATTTTAAATTACGAAATGACCTTATCTACACCAGTGAAAACCAGGAAAGACTGTACAGCTATATCGACTTAGTATGAGACTCATCAATAAATTTGTTGAAGTTAAACATATACACTATATGGTGTCGGTTTAATGGTTTATACGTTAAGTAATATCTTGTGAGACTGAATGTCCTGGTTTTGATTCCTTGTGAAATCATGAATTTGCAATTCTGAAGATTTTGACACTAAAATGAAATAGCTACTGTCCAGTGTTCCTTGGCTTTTAATATTAGTCCAACTAACATCGATTCGTGACCATGAAAATTATCTAATCTACACGTACTCCTCTATACTTATTTGTTTTTTATTATAGGTTGAATCAAAGATACTGCTTTTAGTATTCGCAGTTATATGTTCTACATTTTTTCTTAATTTACATTGTCACAAAGTTATTACTGCCTGTTACTATTCTATTCGTATATTCAACTATGCGATGATCGTACATAAGTGAATTGTATTATTTCGTAGTCATTTCTTAATAAAAAAAATTGCACTAATCTTTTTTTAAATTAATATTGTTGTATTTTATTTTCAGAGAAGAGAGTGAAACTATACTTGAACTCAAAGGACTTACTCCAACTGGTATGCTTCCATTAGGAGCATTAGCCGGTGGTCGAGAAGCTATCAAAGGTGAATATAGTCGTAGTGTTGTCATTTATTTTTTTGTTAGAATTATTATTATTTGCTGTTTTCTACTACTTTTCAGCAATTGGTCAGTGTTTAAATCATTATGTTTTTTCAACTATCAGATATGTTACCGGTCAGTATTTTACATTCCTATTCAGTTTGATACGGTAGTTGTTTCATTTACTTGTACACATGTACAAAGAGTAGCTTCAAGCTGTACGTTCATCAACCTATTAGTTTGTTACACGAAGTTGACAGAAACCCCTGATTGACTTAGGTTTAGCACTTGCCGAAAAGAAGAAACGGTTATCTGAAAAAATTGAAACTTCACATGAGATTCCAATTTGTATGATTTGCACACTTGGTTAATGACATTAACGTTAACCTAAGAAATATGTAGTTATTTAGCACTGGGTCACAATTTGATTCACACTGTTAAAATTGCGAGTCGATCTGAGCTAGATCATGATTAGAAACCTGGAAGGACTGTACGGCCGTCTTGTCCTACTACTCAACAGTGCTCATCCACGACCGTACACGCGGAATTGAACCCACGACCTCTAGTCTGGCTCACGAACACTTAACGTCTAGACCACTGATTCGGGATTTGACGGTGGTAATGTCTAACTTCATTCATATACTCTATAATGACTAGGTAATTATTGAAACCTTTTTCATAATAACGAATTCAGTTTAGACATTTTCTAGGAATGGTGTTTCCCTCATTTTAAATTTTTGTGTGTGACTTTACATATTGCTGAATTGTTGTGATGACATATATACTATTGTTTTACTAATACGTTAGAGTGTACTGTTCCATAAAATCATAGATAACATAGGCATTATTGTGACCGATAGTGTTTAAAATTCGAATCAGTGATCGATTCTATTTGTGGAGTTCTCTTTTGCGTAATTTTGATAATTGTTGAGTTTCAATTCATTTAACACATTTTCGTGTACAGCCATAAAATATCATAAGATTTATCAATGAATAAAGCAAGTTCCTAACACTTTTAAGTAATTAAACATAGAAACTAACACTACTATTCATTAGTAATAGCTAGTTATACCATCAGTAGAAGGGGCTTTAATTATCCTGTTGTTTATGTGCTTAGCTAAACTTCGATCAATGTTGGTTAACAGATGTACATCTTGCCTCCATATAGTCTTATTTTCTCAAGTTCTTATGTAAGAGATGAATCAAGGCTAGTAGTAGAGTTCAGGATATGCATTTCTTCCTGTTTGGGACTCATTAACTAGATGTACCTTCTGAACAATATATACATATATATATATATATATATATATATATATATATATATATATAAAGTTCCTCGTCAAGACGATTTATCGTCACCATAAGAAGTCACATGTTTTCTGTATGAAGGAGATCATTGATATCTTTTAGATAATCTCTTGCAATAAAATCGGTTACCTGTCTTCCATATTACTGGAAGATGAATAAAATGTAAATTACAATTAACATTAATAACTTTATTCAGCCAAGTGTTCTGATAGTGTGGATGGGGAGAGTTCAGATCCTTTCAAAATCTCTTGAAATATTATTTGGATTGATGAAACAATTTAGTTTGATTTTTATATGGTTCAAGAAGATTAGTAAAAATTACTGGACTTCTTGGTTTACATCACTGTTTAATCTTAGTTGGACGCTTATTGCAAACTGGGAAGCATCAGACAGTTGCTCCATCCTAGTATGAGACCTCTCAACACTGAGTATTCTTTTACCTTTCCCTACTCACTAAAGATAGAACCCAAAACCTTCAGGCCAAACAACCAGCTCTCGAACCCTTAGGCCACTGAAGCGGTGCATGTCAAGCTCCAATCAATTCATTATCTTCCAAAGTCAATGGAGGGTCACTGCCTCACACCTGACACGGCATTGTTCCACATCATTAGCAATTCAGCATATATATATATATATATATATATATATATATATATATATATATATCACCGGGTAGTAGTTAATAGATTTTTTTCGGGCCGTTATATCGATCCAATTAGATTAAATCCATAAACCTAGTTTTTGTTCTGTTATTTATAATCTAGTTCAGTTTGTTCTATTCTATGTCATTCTATTCCTCTGTTATTAACATTTGTGTATTAGTGTTTGTGTGCATGCATGTGTATGGATCGGGATTTATGTTTGAATTGTCTCCACCATTGTCTGAAAATCTGTCGAGAAGATGCCAAACGGCGCTCGATGTTTGCAGATAATTAATTAGATAGGTAAATATAAATATAACGCGAAGGACAAACAGTACTAACAGTAACAATAGGAATAACAAATGTAATAACAAAGACAAAACGCGAAATAATCGATGCTTTTTGTGTTTTGTTTTAGTTCAATATCTGTTCTTTCATAAGAAATTGATTAAAACTTGTTATATTCTGTTCCTGATCAACGATGTGTTAGTTTATTTCATTGTTATTAAAAAGAATAAACGAATAAATAGGTAAATAAATAAACAATGATCGATTGATAAATGTTATAAATTAAATCATTACTTACTTACGCCTGTTACCCCTCGTCGAGGAGCATAGGCCGCTCACCAGCATTCTCCATTCAACTCTGTCCTGAGCCTTCCTTTCCAGTTCTTTCCAGTTACTATTCAGCCTTTTCATATCGGCTTCTATTTCCCGAAGTAGTGTGTTCTTTGGCCTTCCTCTTTTCCGCTTCCCCTCCGGATTCCAAGTTAGGGATTGAGTCGTGATGCACATTGGTGATTTCCTTAATGTATGTCCGATCCACTTCCAACGTCTTTTCCTAATTTCCTCTTCAGCTGGAAGCTGGTTTGTCCTCTCCCATAGAACGCTGTTGCTGATAGTATCCGGCCAGTGGATGTTGAGTATTTTGCGTAGACAACTGTTTATAAATACTTGTACTTTCCTGATGATGGTCGTAGTAGTTCTCCACGTTTCAGCTCCATACAGTAGAACTGACTGTCTTGACGTTCGTATTGAAGATTCTAACCTTGAAATTAGTTGAGAGTTGTTTTGAGTTCCATATGTTCTTTAATTGTAAAAATGCTGCCCTTGCTTTGCCAATCCTCGCCTTTACATCTGCATCCGATCCTCCTTGTTTATCAACGATGCTCCCCAGGTACTTGAATGTTTCCACATCTTCCAGAGTTTCGCCGTGAAGTGTGATTGGGTTGGTGTTCTCCGTGTTGTATTTGAGAATCTTGCTTTTTCCTTTGTGAATGTGGAGACCTATCGATGCGGAGGCTGCTGCTACATTTGCTGTCTTCATCTGCATTTGGTCGTGTGTATGAGAGAGGAGGGCTAGGTCATCTGCGAAGTCCAAATCATCTAATTGATTCTGAGCTGTCCATTGTATTCCGTATTTCCCTTCAGATGTCGAATTCTTCATAATCCAGTCAATCACTAGAAGGAAGAGAAATGGGGAGAGTAGACAGCCTTGTCTGACTCCAGTCCTTACTGGAAATGCACCTGTCAGCTGTCCTCCATGCACCACTTTGCACTGTAATCCATCGTATGAGTTTTGGATAATGTTGACGATCTTCTGAGGAACTCCATAGTGTCGAAGAAGTTTCCATAATGTTCTCCTGTCCACGCTGTCAAACGCCTTCTCGTAGTCAATAAAGTTGACGTATAGTGATGAATTCCACTCAACTGATTGTTCAACGATGATCCGTAGTGTCGCAATCTGGTCTGTGCACGACCGATCCTTACGGAATCCAGCCTGATGATCCCTTAGTTCGGCGTCTACTGCGTCTTTCATCCGATTCAGCAGCACTCTGTTGAAAAATTTTCCTGGTACTGATAACAAACTGATACCTCTGTAGTTCTCGCATTTGCTCAGACCTCCTTTCTTTGGTATCTTGATGAGATATCCTTCTTTCCAGTCCGTTGGCACTTGTTCCTCTTCCCAAATCTTCTTGAATAGAAGGTGAAGTATGTTTGCAGTTATTTCAATGTCTGACTTCAGTGCTTCTGCTGGTATATTGTCAGGTCCCGCCGCCTAAATTAAATCATACTTTATCATATTTGAATGACATATATTCAATCGTTGATGAGATTGTATGTGCCCCTTGTTGAGAAATCCCGCACTTGAACCTTGAGTGAGATCGACCTGTCATTAATACAGTCCATAAAAATACATAACATTTTATGAATGTAATAAGTGTTTTTGAGAGAGGGAGAGAAAGAGGAATAAAGAGGTGCAGAGTTCTAGAGAAGATAGGAACAGTTAGTGTTCGGAAGGAAAGAACATAGTTAATCCGATCTTGTTTTACATACACGTCTTTCTTTTTAAATAATTTAAACAATAAAGTTTAATTTTACACTGTTGTACTGTGTATGTATTCTACTCCTCCTCGTTCCTTTTTCTCAATCCTAGTGAATATCTTTATTGATTAACCGTCGAGTAGTGTGACTAATGTCACGTTTGTCGAATCCTTTTCAATGCTGGTAAAATTCTATCGACCTAGTTGCAGTGTGATTACCTTCACTCTATGTGACTTGAAATCACGCGCACTATTTCTTGATGTAAGCCTATTGATCTATTTGGACACATAAATAGTAGCACAAAGGAAGCACCGAAATATACATGTGTCGCAAAGTAGTTGTCATCCTGGAGCCCAAGTGGATCATTGAGTTGGAATAAGATTTTTTGACTTTCTGAGGTGGATCTTTCTTGCAAAGTGGTGCATAGATGAAATCGGATGGATGAATTCCAAGTGGGGACCGGAGTCAGATAAAGCTGCTTACTCACCCCTTCCTCTTTCTTCTGGTTGTTGACTGGATTATGAAAACCTCGACATCTGAGTGGAATCACAGAATACAATGGACAGCTTGGAATCAATTATAAGATTTGGACTTCGCAGATGACCTGGCTCTTCTATCTCATACACACGAACAAATGCAGATGAAGACAACTAGTGTAGCAGCAGCCTTAAAATACACAAAGGATAAAGAAAGATCCTCAAATACAACAACGGTGTTAATGTTTAACTTCA